TGCTCCTCTCTCTCTCTCTCTCTCTCTCTCTCTCTCTCTCTCTCTCTCTCTCTCTCTCTCTCTATTTCCCACAAGATTACTTCAATCCAATACGATTTATTTGTGCTGATTTATCATTAAATATCTATGATATTTTGGATTTTCGTGAGCATTTCCTCAAGGCAAGGGGAAACTTAATCCTTCGACCTACGTTTTCCGTATTTTAAAGATATTCGCTTAAAATACAGAGTGAAACCAAAATAAATAGAACGAGTCGTTGCTCTACTTTCTCGTAATGTCTTCTGCGGTATAAATATTACATGTCAAAAGATTTTCGAGCACTTAAGAGGAATCATTTTCAAATATGTCGACGCGGCGGTTAAGGGATAAATTAGATTTTAATTGCGTCCCGATTTGCGCCGGCGCAAATCGGTTTGTATATTCCGAGAAGCGAAAGTGAAGCGCGCGTACGACCACGATATTGGAGTCGCGCCGTTGTCGTTACTGACGAAAGCGTCGACGGGACTCGCTAGACGCGAACGTTCTCTCGCGAATATTATTCCTGTACCCTCGTAAAACGAGAATTATCATTTCGAGCTACGCGCGAAGAATGACAATGATATGGCGTTCTCGCGAGGCAAAGGATGAAATAGCTTCGATTCACGATGAGTCATGACGAGAATATCGCTTCATGCTCGAAACATGTTCGCTATAATTTGATGAAAGAAAATTAATGAACTCCACACACAGGAGAGAATAGACGGGAGAAGAATCGAGAAAGATCTTAGCGCAGATAAGTCGATTGATCGGATTGCAAATTTGCCGTTCATATAGGGGATCGTGAGAAGTCGCGTTAGGCGCGAAATCGTGAAAAAGCGCGCACGTGAAAAGGGCACTAATGGAGACATGGCTTAAGGGAAGACAGTCGTAGGATAGAGGAGTACGTAGCGAATGACGAAGCGAATGGGAAGGGTTCGTGAGAGGCGGAGAGAGAGGAGTGAGAGGGGTAGAAGGCGAAGGGCAGAAGAAGAAGACGAAGGGAAAACGAAGAAGGATGACAACGAGTCTGATGAGGGTAGAGCGGAGTGAAGACCGCGAGGGGAAACCCGATGGAAAGGCGGGGGGTGAGCGGGGGTGGAAGGCCACCGAGTGACAGGGAAAGAGCGACGGAGACAGAGCGAATGAGAGGGAACGCGAGGTACACGCAGGATCGGCTCTGAATTTCCTTTCGCCTGCAGCGAATTTTGCATTGAAAGTATTGTTCGTTTTATGGCCCATCTACAGTTATTTTACGAATTTGCAGAGCGACCGGCTCGCGATTATTTCACGATAAAATTTCAGTATGGAATTTTCGGCTCACAGTTTCCCTCTCTATCGGCAAACACGCTTCTTTCGACGCTGCCAACACTCCGATAGCAATTATTGGAAAATCGCGACGTTTACCGTTGACAGATATGCGGGAAATTAGTGTTTTAGTGAACATTCGACGGATTATTTCCATAACCTTGTGAAACGGGAGATGGCGCCTCAGCAGTGCATTCAAACGAGTCATGTGTGAAATTTCGACAAAACAATAATTATGACACTTACGAAAGAAAAGAAGAAACCTAGATAAAACTTTCGCAGTCGAAACGAAGTCGAAACGATCTTCCACGAGACCGAGCACGTGCTCTCTCTCTCTGTTGATACCTAGAGCCGCTCCTGGAGGAGGGAGCGATGTATTAGAGGGGGTTGCCGCCAGGTAGGGGAAGGTGGCCAGACAGGCAGAGGTGGCGGGCTCGGAGGGGTCCACGAGGGCGAAAGAGAAAGATCGACGGGTGGGATCCGCAGGTGGGAGCGCGACGCGAGGAACATCGCGGAGGGGAAATAGACGTGCGCGAGAAGAAGGGGGGCGAGCACGGGGGTGGCGGAGTGCGCACGGTGCAGTGCAATGCGGGGAGAGGGGAAGACGGCGGAGACTCACTGGCAGTCTCGTTGATCCGGCTGTGAGCAGTGCGCGCCGTGACGTGACAATGGCGGCAGTCGTAATTACGGTACGGTGCGTTACTGTGATCAGCTGATTGACCGAGTCCGAGCGAGAGAGAAAGAAAGAGAGAGCGGGAGGAAGGGGGCGAGTGAGAGCGGGCGAGCGAGAAAGAAAGAAAGAAAGAACGAGAGAAAGAGCGCGCGGGCGTTCCGAAAAAAGGAGCCGATCGAGGAAGAGACGGCAAAATCCCTTCGCAACCGCGCGCGTTGGCCATGTCGTCGTCCTCGTGATCGGCGCTGAAGGTACTCGTGTCCCCCTCGTTGTATGCGAGGCATAACCGTATACATACACACAGCTCCCCCCGCCGGCAACCCCCTTTCTTCCCCGTGTCTCGACGCCGCGCGCGTACCTCCGCTCCGCTGTGTTGTTTGTGTTGGCCACGTATGCGTGCGGTTCGTACGACCGGTAGATAAATGTCTCTCAGCCATGCCCGCCGTGCGGAAGTACCGGAGGGATACCAGCGAGGTGAGCTGCTGCCTCAAGTACGTGATCTTTGGATTTAACGTCATGTTCTGGGTGAGTACCGGCGCTGAGAGTGGTGCGCGAGGGAGTCGCGAGCGCGACGACGCGAGCTGGGTCGACGAGTCCCGCGAGATCGCGGGACAACGTCGCGGGTAACGTTGCCTCTCCTGCACCTGTGGTACCTCCGTTGCCGCGCATCGGGAAATGATGAACGTCACGCGAAAAATTTCGGAGGCTACGTGGCAACCGAAAAGGCACACGCAGCTCGGAACAAATCCTAATCGCGTCATTTTCAAGCGAGAGACGATACTATTTGCTAAATTGCGTGGACGTTATCTCCGAAGGGAATATCTCCGAGTGGTATTCCGGAGGAATCTTCAGGCGCGTCATCTCCGAAAATTTCGCGTACGTATCATTCCTTTGCGAGGTAGAGGATGATTCACGTTGTCACCTATGAGGAGATCACGCGCTACACCTCCTAAAAGTCCCGGAGATTGGCTTCGTAAAAGTTTCCCGGCGTTACCGTCTGGATAATGATAGCTTCATTAGCAGTAAACAGTTAAGTGAAAACTCCAACGCCTGTGGATAGCTCCACAGACACGAGAGCTCCAATAAAAGCTTCATTGGGTCGCATAGCATCTACGACAGCCTCTGTTTTCGACTTTGCGGTGTTACGCGGACTTTGCAAAGTATTATCGGCTCCCCGTGTATATGTGTACGCGCGAAAAACACAGCGTGTGGACCGACAACAATTTCCAGAGGACCAGTTAAAATTCGCGTATCTTCCGACTCTTTGTTTCGCGTTACAGTAGGAGAGAGGGAGTTTATTACCGCGACGCGTGCGCGAGCACTGCGAGAGAGAGAGAGAGAGAGAGAGAGAGAGAGAGAGAGAGAGAGAGGGAAATAGTCCTTTTATGCTTTTGAGTAAAGTACGTCGCGATGTTTAGTTTAATAACGATCTCGCGCAAAATGAAAATATTTTTAGTTACATGGCGATCGTTGTATGTCGCGCGATAAAATGCTGAACGATAAGAGGCAACCATTCGACGCGTGCACCCCAATAAAAATTTTGCCCCATAGTCCTAATCGGGTTGATCCCACTCAGTTATCTTATTTATGCATAAGTGATCCCGAGTATCGAAATTTTGATCCTACTTTCAACCTCAATGTACCATTTAAAACTTATTTTCATACTTAGAAGCCCCTATCAATCTCTTTTAATTCTATTTAACTACCTTTACCGTGAGAGGTTTTCTTTAGGACCTTCAAGCATTTTATATATTTAATGTCATTTAGAAGCACTAAAACTATAATTTCAGTTTCCACGTGTATTAAACATACACTAATTCTTCAGAATATATAGATATTATAAGAAGTTCAGATCAAAATTTTGGTCCTTTTATTGACCTCAATATTCTGTTCAACGAAATATGAACTATTCTGAAGTCTATATCAGTCTTATTTGATGCTATTTAACATCATATATACATTAGTTCTCCAGAATATATACGCTGCAGAAAATTTCGTGTTGAAGTCAACACATTTCACATGTTCCAATTTAACCGTTAAATAGAAAACTTCAGTTTCCATGTGTATTAAACATATACTGATACTTCAGAATATACAGGTGTTAGGAAATTCAGGTCGAAAGTAGGGCCAAAATTTCGGCTAGGGATGTCATTGAGTCCTAATGATCAATAAGATCTTAATTATTAATATAATTCTTTAACAAGGTCTTACTATATTGAATTACATGGCTTATCAACCCGATAATATTATCTTATGCGAGCCAGATAACTGATTGAGATCAATCTGATTTGGACCAGGGTAAATTTCCAATCGAATATTTATTTTTCGAGTGCGAAAAAGACTGAGAAAGAATATCGACTATTCTCGACCCACTGCGTGCGTCGTCACGCTCCACGTTCTTATTTTAACTCTTATCTTATGATATCGAATAATACGGATTACAGGCCACACATAATAAACAGAAGTCTTACTGGATAATGATGTAATTATTATAGGCGATATTATATTATAAACTTTATGCAAAAATATATATTCCGAAGAAAGTAATCACATTATATATTATTACTGGATATTTGATGTTTTATAAAAGAATTAACGTTTACAAATTTCCTGTCACTGCACTGTGTTGGCTTCCAAACACAAAGGCAAAGGGAGGTTGAGTGTACTCTTGTGCAGACCTTGCCTCTAAAATACAATCAATGTATTCTTTACTGAAGTGCTATACTTATGTAACTGATGGTTCAGCTATAAGTATAGCACAGCAATAAGTAAAATCTGAAAGGATCAGTGAATAGTGGTAGTAGACTATTCTCATTATGCACTGCACTTTGCGAACACAGACAATGTCAGTATGTGCGTAAAGCGCACGAAAGCAATTGACTCCACTCTCATAAACGTAAAAAGTTGGATTTGGTATAGCGTATTTATGTATTACAGATCTTGTAGGAAAATCTTACTTCCTCTGATCAAAATCAGTGAGAAATAAGTCGGAACAGTAAAGTAGGAGTGTTTTCACGCTGGGAAAATACAGTGGATATACTCACTGATTATCGGCAAACAAATAGTCCTTTTGCTAATTCAATCAGAAACATTTTTACTGATTCGTTTCAAGAAAGTTGTTAAGCGTTTGTTCCGATACACGAGCCACTATGTGCCTAACTGTAGCACGCGCAATAACAAATTAAAATGTAAAGCAAGGAAGCAAGAAGTTAACTTTTGTAGTCCGAGGGGTTTTTCAAGCGACTTCTGTAGCCTTTGAACCAGAATTTCTTCGTATACACATATATATATAGTATTCCAGATTCTCTTCCGCAATTTTTGTAGAACGGATTAAACATAAAAATAAACATAATGATAAACATAAAAGTCCTATGCCGTTTTACGATATTCGCAATAGTAGTCGAGATATTAATTAAAAAAGATGATCCACGAAGATTATTCCGGGACACCCTGTATAACACTGACAATTAACTAAAGGAATTTTGCGTCCAGTTTGACCCAATTTACACGAGCGGTTTTCCATCTGTCGTCAGGCACTGCATATCTCAGATTGTTTAAATATTTTGCGCACCCGAAAGACCGCAAGATATAAATACGAAGAAACAGATTCGGCATGTCACACGAGCCGAATCTTCTTTAATTAATATCTCAAAATTTATTGCGAATGTCGCAAAACGGTATGGAATTTTTATGTTCATCTCAGTCTATATTATTACAATTCTATATTATTACAAAAATTGCGTTCTATATTATTACAATTATTACAATTATTACAATTATTACGTTCTATATTATTACAAAAATTGCGAAGGAGAGTCTGAGACTTGTCCCAGACACTTGTGTATGTGTGTCGAAGAGAGTAGATTGATAAAAAATAAGATCCCCGCCGCGCCACTATAGTGACTTGTCGGATTGTGGGAGTTAATGTTGTCGAACGGAAAAGTCATCATCGGCGACGCGATTGATCGATTATGTTTCCCGAGCGTGTCTCGTGCTCGCTTTTCCGTCCCGTCTCGTCGCTCACGGAGTTCCCGCCGCCCTCGGCGGAACGAAATCTCCGCCGGCGGAATGCGATTACGTCCGTCATGTCGGCCGAAGAATTTCCACCGAGGCGTTGTAGCACTGACGGTTAGACAGATGTCAATTACGATATCTTGCGCTAGGAGCTATCGAATAATAAAATCTTATTTATCGTAAGAGGATCGACTTGCCGTATCGTGTAATTTGTTCCAACGCCGTTTTCCTAAGCGGTGAACGTCTGTGTCGGAAACTCGGGAGCGGACGCGAGAGGCCCCCCGGCCTTATCGCGGCGCAATTCGAGTCTCCATGCGATCAATACGCAAATATATTCATACCACCGCGTTTAGTACCAATTATTGGCTGTTTGATGCCCGGCACAGAAATAACACGTTGAAAGCGGGAGTCTCTCCGTGAATACGCCACGTCGGCATATTGTGTGTTACCATTTGAAGCGTGATGTCAAAACAGAGATATCGACTTCGGCCATCGCTCAAATTAATTGTCACGCGATAATTTTAGAGCAGAAGTGAATCGAACGCAACGCGCGCGCGCACACGCAAACACACACACACACACACACACACACACACAGAGAGATACACGTCGTTTCAGAGAGAACGATTTTTCGATGGCGAGCAATCGAGATTCGACCGTTGGTCAGGAGGACCAACACACATAACGGCCTACCTCTCGCATTTTTCCCGGGGTGAGAATGCCGCGAATGGCCCGCAATGCAGCTCGTGCGTGCCGCGAAGTGTCCCAATTGCGAGCACCGCGACGCCGTGCAACGCGCATATATGCGTTATGGTGTGCATATCGCCCAGCTTGCGGTGCGCATCGGTCGTAGGAAGCGCGCGAGGACTCGGGCCGCATCGGTCGCGCAAATCACTCGAGGACTCCGCAGGATCCCGGCATCCTCGCGGGGCCGAGAATTTCCCCGTGGGAACGCACAATCCTGCTTGTATTTCCGAAACGAGACGACATACGTCCGCGGTACACTTTTTTCCTCATAGTTACGAATGATGTCTCGTTAATTCTCGCACAATGCCGATCGCTCCTTACCCCGGAACAAGTTGGCGATCGACACGCCTCAACAATGCCTCCCCTCTTGAATGTCGACGAGACGAAACTCGCGATTAAAGCTTCAGTTTCGGTGAAATTACGCGGGCGCGTGCGGTGCGCCCACGCAACCGCGCGTGTTCCCCCTCGGGAGACTTGACTGTTCGAAGAGAGGATTAATTAAGGAGCAACCGCGAGATTTCCAGTAGCCACCTGATGGTTTTATTCATTTGGGAAGAAGACAGTATATTCTTTTCGACAGATACACCCAAAATCTTGTGTTATAAAAATGCAACTCATATTTCACAAATCTCTTAATTTATCCACTCTGATGATTGTGATTAATTTAACATAAGACAAATACGTAAACAAATAATACAGAAGTCGGAAATTAACGCAAAAATGTAACACTTGAAAATTTTCATATCAAGTTTTTAACATGCTTGTTTATTAATTTAACAACAAATCTTTTATTTATCTTTTTATTTATACAAAATGTCCCAGGTTACCATTCTCAAACTTCGCAAGAATGTAGAGCGATTTAGGTAAGCATACATTAGGTCAAACTGACTAAAAAAGTCCTCCACCATTTTGCAAATGACCACATAGATTTTAAGATATTAATTAAAGAAAATTTGTGCATTATCACACACAATCATGTAACAATGTTCTTTCATGAATAATTAAAAATCTACGTGGTTATTTGCAAAATGATAAAAAGCTTTTTGTTCAATTTGACTTAATGTATAAGCATATATCATTATTACAGTTCACCTATCATATGGCGCGTGATTATTCACCATTTTTCTTTAATTAATATCTCGAGATTCATGACGAATATCGCTAAACGGTATAGGACTTTTATGTTCACCTCAATCTGTTATATGCTCTCGCGAAATTTGAGAATGATGGACCACTCTGTATATTATTTTTAGTGTGGACGGATTGATTTCAACGCAAATGCAAAGTGTCTTTTCACCGTGTGAAACTACGAAATTTTAATTTACAAGCCTCTTCAATGAGTGATACCATAGAATTTCAATGCGCAAGTGACGGAGAGTCGGGAGAATTGCACATGGCAGTCTCCACGCCCCTCGCGGAAGATTCGCGTTTAACCCGCGTATGCGTTCCGATCGCATACGCGACATTTGCGTTTTTTAAAGGGGATAGCGCGAGCCAGCCAATGATTTCATTCGCGGGCGAACATCGCGCGCGTTGCCGTTTCGTTCCATTGATTTACGTTCTTTCCGATCGAGCGGCCGTCCGCTCACGACGGATAACGCGCTCACGATAGACGGCGATAGATCAATTCCGCGCGGCCGTTTGCGAGCGGCGCGCGTTGTCGCCGACGTTGATACAACGTTGTTTACAAATCGTAATTTTATTTCGTGGCCGCGCGTGTTGGCTCGAAGCGTGCGTTACCGCGCGCGGATTGATTTATGCGCGATGGAGCGAACACGACGAGACAACGCGATCTTCGACCTCCACGGGCTGCGTTCAGAAATCCAGGCCTTTGGGTTAAAAAGGTAACCCACAGTCGTTCAAAAATTAACTCGGATAAGATAAAGTGACTCGTTAATTACGTTCAGAAATATCGAGTAAATTTTATGATATCTACCCTGAAGTTGGTTTTCTAACCTCTGAACAGGTCATCGAAATAACTCTCTATTATTTGATGCCAAAGTAGGAAAAATTTCAATAAGAAGAAAATGAAATAGAACACTGAAGTATCTATTATTAGTAATGCTATTATTTCTTCACGATATATATTGTCTAGAAAATGGCAATTCAATCGTTTAAAATAATATGATAATACGATGATCAACACGATAAGCAGATATTTCTGCTGATTTGTGGTTCTGAATATCAAGTTATTTATCTTTAGAACTTTTATTCGGCTTGTTATATTTTTTACATATATTTCAGAAGATTACCAAAGATTGGTACACTTGGTATTGATTGCCATTAATATTTTAGTAAAAAAAGGTAATGTAAAAGGTAGTCTTATTATTTTATGAGAAAAATATTGTCAATAAATAATCATAATTAATTGAATGTGAAATAACACATCTTTATATATTGCATATCTTAATAAGTCACTTTTAAAAACGTTTCAAAATTAATGATTTCGAATTAAACATGTTTTGCAAAATGTTTCTCATTTTGCCTCGCATAGAAAATATAATAAAATTAAGTAATGTTCTTAAGAAGACATTATTTAATTTCATTGTGTTTTCACTTTTAATTCTTTTTTCACTGTAAAATTTGTGTTTTCTTATAGTGGACATTTAAAAAATACTTTAATTACAGTACGAAAAGAGAATTGATTAATTTATTTTTAATATATTTAACATTTATTGAAACATTATGGTTTCCATCATGTCCCAAGTTCCCGTGATGAAAAATTGCGTTCAAAATTGCGCGCGATTTAAAATCGCATTTAAAATTGCATGTAAAATTGCGCATAAAATTGCGCAAGATTTAAAATCATATTTGCGATACAAAATTGTGATGCAATATATCGCATTCATTGCGATTTTTAAAGACAATCACATCGTGATACACAATTTCACCGCATATCCCTAGTTAGCGCGCGCGTGCGGATTGATTTACGCGCGATAGAGTGGATACGACGAGACAACGCGATCTTCGACCTCCAAGTCGGGTCCGCAGGCGAATCCTATTTCTTTTGCGTGACGTAAGCCTCGAGCTATGCAGGCACGACATTACGACGACGTCGACAGATCCTATGGTCAATTTCTCTCAGGCTCAACAAATTGGCACTTAAATTAGCGACGGAAAGGTCAAGGCGATGATTTGTCAAAAGTGCGAGTCGCAAGAAGATGCAATTAACAATTAACGACTGAGTCTCACGTATAGAACGATTAAAATCGCTTTCTCGTAAATATTAATTTGCAACTTTATTCAAGCGCGAAGTGCTAATTTCAAGAGATTCTTCCCCAAATGGAACCTTTTATACTTCATCAAGACCCCCGGAAAATTTATCGCTTCTGTTGAAGTGGCCGTAGTTAAGTGAGAATGATCCAGTCCACATGAACGTTTCGAGACAAATGAAGATGAAAATTTGATACACGATTTCCAAAGTTTACATTACACTGAAGCTTTTCGCAATCGTCCAAGTCAAGCATGGTCAATTTTCTTCTCTTTGAACGTATTCATTGACAACTCTTGAAAATGGCTAAAAAGGACGCAGCTAGTATATAAATAGAATGGCATAACTAATAGAAAATAAAAATTATTTTTTAATTAATTTTTGGTGCCTATAAGACTTGGATTTCCTTTTTTTTTTATTTAGATAGACGAATGAACTACTTTAAGAATTAATAACAAAAGTTCAAGAATCATGATTTTGTTGGCTGGAATATTCTTGCATAACTACGGCCAAACGTAAATCCCTTCCCGAAGAAGCGAAGTGCGACAGTTGTCTTCCAGTTGGCATATGAAAACAGAGCAAGAAGAATCGCTTGTGTCTATTTGGAGAATTGTTCACGAGTTTCATTGTTGATAAATGACGCATCGAACCGTTCGATTCGACACACCGCTTTTTCTCGGCAAACGTGCGCCGATTAATAGCAGGCTCTCTGTTGAAACTTCACACTTCACGCGAACGGTGAAAAATGTTAGTGCGTGAGTCACGCGCGCGCCACCCCAAAAACCGATTGTTCTCGCGGGTTAAAGTAACCGCGTGGTAATGAACTCCGTGCGAGCTTATTTCACCGGGACGGATTAAAGGTATTATTGATTTTCCCCCGCGGAGCTGTGGCGGGCTGGGTTCGGGCTTTTCGCGAAATGTAGCACTAGCCTAGTGATATGTGGTGGGAGAGAGAGAGGGGGGGAGGGAAAGGGGGAGAGCGAGTGAGTTCTTCCTACTAGGCACTCCGCGTAATTAAATAGCGGCCATGCTACGAAAAGCCGCGTATACTGTGAGACCTATTTCGTGACTCGCCAACGAAATGATAAAAATGATATTAATTGCGTCGATTTAATAACAAGAACAGCTGATACACCACGTGAATGTATCACGCGCTTATTAGAGAGAGAGTATTTTTTGAACGAACGTATTATTTGTCGAAGACCGTTAATTGTCGGAACTTGTTAATTGCCAGAGCGTTAGCACGAGATCCTAAGTAGAATATCGTGTACGTTGGACGGCAGCGCGCGAAAATCCGCGAAATCACGATTCCTCGGACCGCTCTGTGTGAGCTAATAAAAGTCGCAACTTCGTTCGTACGATATTCTTTCGACGAACTTGCAAACATTCGGCTGGGCGCTAAGTTTCGTAGTTCGAAAGTCGCGGCGAGTTAACCTCACAACTATCGGCGTTCCTCGGTCTATATACCGAGTGCGTCGAAAAAGAGAAAAAGGAGGAACAGAGAGAGACAATAAAAGCAAGAGAAAAGAAGGAGCAGAGGAGAAGAAGAGAGAGAGAGAGAAACTTGGAGGAAAACATGCGTTTCGTGAAACATCCCTCTCGCCTCTTTCCTAGCTTACGGTCGGCGCCGTAAAATTTTTATGCGCCGCTGAAAAATAATAACGGTCGTCGCGCGCGCGCAAATAATTTCATCGCGGAGGCAAAAGTTTTTCCGCGGTACCGCGGCGGTTTTCCTCGACCGAAAGGAGCGAGGCAGAGAGACAGGCAGAGAGAAAGAGAGAGAGAGAGAGAAAGAGAAAAAGCGAAAAAGAGAGGGGAGATCCGCGTGTAAAGTTGCGTCGGGCAAAATGAAATATTCGTGCGAAACATTTATGGCCGGCCGGATGAGCGAGAAAGAGAGAGCATCTCCGAGAGATCATTCGCGATTCTGTAACAAACTCGTAACGCGATTTTGCTCGCGCCCTCCGTCGCGCGGGCGCGTCTTTTTCGTTTTGAGTTGCGGGCGGAAACGTTTTTCTCACGTTTTCCTCTCTCTAAAGCGCGCTGCCGAGCGAGGTGCTTACCATTCGAGGTTGTCTCGTCGTTGTCGTCGTCATGCGATTTGCATCGCCAGTCGACACCGTCGCGGCACTACATCGATGCAGTTATTGCGCTTATCGTTGCTTGCGCAGCTGGTCCGTCGTGGTTTTCACTCGAATTAACGTCCGTCGCATCGGTAGCTACGCCAGACTTGTTTTCGTACTAACGATGGAGGAGGAAAAGGAGAAGGAGGAGGATAAAGCCGCGTTCAAACTTGTATCGTATCGAGATTTGTATTATCATTATCGGCCAAGGTGTCACATTGTGTTCGCATATCAACAATTGACACGCATACGATTTGGTTGGCATTATTTGGTGATGTTACTCGTGCCGATTGAGAGAAAGACCAAGTAATAACTATCAAAATTTGGTACTTGTTAATATATTCATTCCAATAATGCGGGCCAAACACAAAATGATAATTAGGAAATAATTTTGTTATATAAAGTAAATATATAGTTCTCAGAGCCAAAATTTAATTGCTTGAACTATATATTTAGATGATTAAATTAGATTCTGGAAGTTTATTACCAAATCTTGGCAGCAAAAAACAAGATATTTGTCAATTATTAGTAAAGCTTGTACCCGAGATGAAATTTTTTTATTTTATTCGAAAAACCTCACTTCAACTATTTCAACTGCTTTAAGCATCTATATTTTTTATTTCTTACATTGATGCTATTTATCGCTTCATCCGTGTGTAACAGATATTAAATATTCGGTGGCTATTACGGTGGTCTTTAGTCCATTTGACTGTGATTAAAGTCCTTTGTACATCAAATCTATTATATATTTGGTTAATACTATCATATTTGGTATTAGTTGCCGAATTTTTATTTTTCCGTAACTAAATACTTTTAGTAATAATTAACAGTCTTTTTTCCAGTGTACATGCATTATTGAGAAAGCAAAACATAGTGACAGTTAAAATTTTGAGTCGTATTTACGGAATATTTGGTCGATCTCATTTTAACTAAATTTTGGTTCAGTGTAGCAAATTTCTTTTTATAACAAAGTCCCCCTTTTTAGTGTAATGATACACTACGATTGTAATTGATCTAGAATCGATATTTTCTCGTTACATCAAAGAAATGATACGTGATATGGACACAGTCAGTGCGGAGACTATCCTCATCTGTATCGCATGAAGACAATGTAGAACTGAAAATATTGATGTATTATAAATGGAAAAATACGAAAAATACACACTAAAGATACAAATGCAGGATACGAGTTGAAAACTAAACTCCATCATGATACTATATCAGCATATTGTATCATGATCTGATTGGCGACACGATGATACAAGTCTAAACATACTTTAATAGGTTTAAGTACTTCTGTTCTGCACGCTGACCGTTCGCTCAAGAAGCGAAAATAGATTAACGAATATCACATCTCGGATATAGATTATTGAAAAGAGATAAACAGAGAAGTACATTTTTATTTCTCGAAGACCATTTTGTATTGACCGACCGAATCGTAGTATCTGACGATAGATGAAAAACGCTCGTGTATATGTAATTAGTTATATGTAATTACATTATATGTAATTATCAAACTGAATATAAAATTTCTCTACCATTTTGAAAACAATTGAATAAAATTTCTAGTTATTAGTTGAAGAAGATTGGTGCAGAGTACAACGGTAAGTACACGGAAAGAATAGTATATCTTGCCCACGCATAAGTCTGATTGTACCGACGAGATACAATATTGAATCTAATTGGCATAACCAGTCTTATACGCGAGACAACCATACTGTTTTTCCCGTATACGATTTCCGTTGTGGATTTACACATTAGATTAGTCCTCTGTTATTTTGCAAATGACCACGAAGATTTTGAGTTAATAATTAAAAAAGATTTTGAGTTAATAATTAAAGAAGACTACGTTGAGAAAAAGTAATTGGATTAATGAAAATATCGGCGCACATTCAAAAAATAGACTTGCAATAATAGTAATGCAATAATAGGATACAAGAAATTAGAGCTGAAATAGTAAACGACTAGCGAACATTGCGATATGCAATATATTTTGTATTTAATCAATATAGACGACATAGATAGAATCTTCATTAACTATTTGTGAAAAAAAAGTCTCTCTGTGTAGCATCCATCCAGATTAAAGTCTGTTACTAAAAATCGACAGTAGACAAAAAAGAAGATAAAAAACAGCGACAAAAAGCAAACAAAAAAAGGCTAGTGACGAGAGATAAACGAATGTATAATTCTCACAGTCAGTCATCTAAATTTGCTCGCAGATATTACTAGAATGTTGCTGCTGTAAATTCCATTAACCACAGACGATTTTCCAACAGATGCGAAAAACAGCAATACATTTTCGCTGTGACGTTTAGAATTCTACTTGGACCAGCAAAATATTTTCTTGAGTGGTATGCTAAAACTGATCAAATTATATTGATCACAATATTGAGTGATAAAATTGATGATATTATTGCGCTCTATACGATCTGTGTATTGGTTTTTATTGGTCCCCTGTTATTTTCGATTGATCATTTATCAAGAGAGTCTTCACTCTTTTACTCTTATTGACCCGCTGTTATTTTTGTACGCGGCTATTTGCGAAATGGTAGAGAATGCGTCATTCTTTTAATATCTTCGGCAATTTTGTTAGGTAATTTTGTTAGGCAATTTTGTTGATGGATCGCCCGGAAACGACAATCATCTTTGGATGCCCGAGTCATTTTGATCTCTTTGAATTCTAATATTTAAAAACTCTGTGTTATTCTTTGCGCGTGACGTCTAAGCATAGTACGGACATAATTATAAATATATATAGGCATTTCCTATATAGCAAACACATAACAATTTTCATAATTTTTCCAAACTTATAATTTCCTACAATAAGACATTCATAATTAATAAGTAAAATGTATTTATACATCCTTTGTTCTTGGACAACAAGAATAACAATGACAATTGAATAAAGGAATTTTGCGTCCAGTTTGACCCAATCTACACGAGCGGTTTTCCATCTGTCGTCAGGCACCCTGTACATCTCGTATTGTTTAAACGTTTTGCGAAAGGACCGCGGAGAAATAAACGCGGAGAAACAGGTTCGGCATGTCTCACGAGCCGAATCCGTTCACCGCGCTTTCTGCATGGCTGCCCTCGAACAGATGATTGGCCTTGCTAGCTGACGATGACTCCGTGCCGTACACTCCCGCTTTTACACGTCACTCCCTCGTGCGTGTGAACGGCCGCGAGTACGCTCGTGCATGCGTGCGTGTCCCGTGTGATTTTCCGTGGGTGCCCGACCGACACACGAGAGAGACCGCCGATACTGTTCTTCGCGAAAACGTCAACCTGCCTGCCTGTCCGCCTACCTGCCTGCCTGCCTGCCTGACATGTATCTCGTGTCGCGTTGTGTGACTTTGAATAACGCGATAAAGCTACACCGTTATATTTCCGCAAAGATTTACGATACAATGCGAATGTACACGTATTCGTAGCGCGAACGCCGTTGCGCGCCACGAATTGATGATATATTATAAAGTGTAAGAAGACGTAAATAAAATTCTGCGGAGGGAATTTTCAGATATGTTCATCCTAACACGGCGATCTGGTGAATTTTTATTTCCCGAGACTTTACGATATAATAATATTGCATCGGCAGTATCTTGTTATATACTGCGTTGCGCTGCGTAACGATACATAACAGACATTGCAAACGTATCGTGGATGAATAATATAACAGAAAAATAAGGATTTCTCTGCTATGGCGAATAATAGTTTACCGAAAATTTATTCGTTGCAGTAACTAAAAATTTGTTGCTGTAACGAATATTTTCGCTACGTCGATTTCACAGCTAAATATATATTTATTGGCGGTTATATTTTGAGATATCTATTTAGATATTATTTAGGTGGGATTTAGCTATCACATACAAATTCCCGCTGTCGCAGCTAATTCTTTTTTTCCGTGATCGCGAGAGGACCTAAAAATATTCACACGTCACTTCTATGTCGTGACACATCTCTCGATTATCGAGTTGCTGATGCGTCACTTTTTTAACATCATCGGCGATTTTGTTGATGGATCGCCCAGGAACGACAACCTCTTTTGGATACTCGAATTATTTTAACCTCTTAAAATTATTCGTATCAATGATAACATCTGAGCATACTATGAACATAATTTTCAATATGTAGACATTTTCTGTGCAGTAAACATATAACAATTTTCAAAATTTTTCCAAACTTGTAATTTTCTGCAGTAAGATGTATTCATAATTATTAAGTAAGATGTATTTATAATTATTATTTTTTTTACTGTCTATAATTAGTACAGAAAGAAAATTATTGAATGGAAGAACGTAGAATTAAATATAAACTTAATCAGAATTAAAAAACTGAAATCTTAAAGAATATCGAGTCGTCCCTGCTCGATAAACTGAAATGTTCGCGAAACGTTGGAATTAGACAAAGAAGAATTCACGCGGCTCAAATCCGGGAACTAAATCTAATTTTCAAACAATAGTTTGTGTACCGGCTTTATAACACCGACAATTAAATAAAGAGTAAAAATGATCCTCTGAAGCATCCTCTGAGGTAATTAATAATCTGACATAATTCATTGCAGTATCATCGATCTTTCGCGTCACTCTTAGTTCCAAAAATAATTTAAAGTTTCTTTTTTGTGAACCACGAGAAACACAGAAATAGCGATAACAAGGAGATCTCAGAGGAGTGCAAATGAATCCATCGGGCATTCTGGTGTTAAAAATTCCCTAGGTCCGTCCCTGTCAATTCTCCCTCCCTTTGCCGCTGTCCTCCCTCCCCCCCCCCCCCCCCCCCCCCCC